GAGAAAATTGAAAGCTAATCTTGAAAGATTATTAACATGCATTGATATATTTTACTTATTTTTGACATGGGTATACCATTACATTTAGCTCCTAAATGGAGGCTCTCAACTATCTTAACTTTATAACACCTATTTCTCTCACTTTATCATACCATCTACTCAAGCCCAGCTATAATCTGTCAGCCATAACTATCTCAATAACATTTAAAGAAAAATAAATTAATTTCAAGAATTCTCTACACTTCATTATATGGCTGAAGGTATGTTAGGATATCACAGAACTAGAGCTGGGAATCATTTTTCCTGGAACTCTGGGACCATATCATATTTGCCACTGAATAGAACATGACGCAATCCAATAAATGGGGACAATTGTTAAGAATTATATGTAGTAGAGAAGACAGAAACTAATGAAAAAATGATCCAAATTAGGAAGTTTGAGAAAGGTCTAAGGAAAAAACAACGATCTGAATAAGAGGCATGAGGTCTGGTTGCTGTTTATGCTGATACAAGTACTGGGATTGACTGAGGGAGCTGGCGGGGGGGGGTGGGCAGGGCAGGGGAGAGCAACGGGGGAACAATTGGAACAATTGTAACTGAAGAGCAATAAAAAATGTTACACAAAGTCTGAATTACTCAATCAGCTTTATTCTCATCCAATAATTTTTATGTGAACCTGACTTAACACTTAGATATCTACTGACATCATTCATTGAATCAAAAATCAATAGCTAATATACCTCTTGAGTTACTGAGCATAAGTGAATAATAAATTTGTTTTTATTATCATCAATAAATATAATACACAGGACAGATATGATTTCCCCATCACTACCTTTTACTGTTTTAAATAACATCTTTCTGGTTCTGACATTTTATGGAAATTTTCAATCAGTAGCATACAGTCCCAAGTAGGTAATTCATAAAATTCATGATTTTCTAATTGGAATATTACTACTCAGGAATAAGTTCACTTATTAATTTTGTTGTTTATAAAAATAACTCATGTTTATTGCCAAAAGTTCAAAAATAAAATTATAAAAAAGAAAATACATATTGTATTCTTTACTCGCCTTTAATGTAACCACTTATGGTGTTCTATATCTTTCTTTGCTTTCTTTTTTATTTTTGAGAATTTGTATCACCTTCACTGAAGCTAAAATAATGCAGTCAGGTTTATAAAACAATTATTTTTATTTTATTTTTATTAACTTTATTGGCATAACTGGTTAGTAAAATCATATGGGTTTCAAGTATAGATTTCTATGATACACCATCTGTATATTGCACTGTGTGCCCACCACCCAAAGATAAACCATATTCCATCAACATATATTAGGCCCCCTCTACCCTCAACCCTCAACTCCCTCTCCTCTGCTAACCATCACACTGTTGTATGTGTCCATAAGTTTCAGTTTTATATCCCACTCATGAATGAAATCTTATGGTTCTTAGCTTTTTCTGACTGACTTATTTCACTTAGCATAATATTTTCAAGTTCATCCATGTTGTTGCAAATGACAAAAAAAGTTTTTCTTCTTTTATTATGGTTGAGTAGTATTCCATTGTATATAAGTACCACATCTTCTTTATCTAATCCTCTCTCAAAGGTCACTTTGGTTGTCTTCACGTCTTGGCTACCATGAAGAGTGCTGCAATGAACATAGGGGTGCATGCATCTTTAGGAATACATGTTTCCAAGTTTTTCAAGTAGATACCCAGGAGAGGAATTTCTGGGTGTGGTAATGCTATTGTTAATTTTTTGAAGAGCCTTCATACTGATTTCCACAGTGGCAGTATAAGCTTACATTCCTACCAGCAGTGAATGAGTGTTCCTTTTTCTCTACAACCTCTCCAACACTTGTTATTACTTGTCCTGTTGATAATGGTCTTTCTAACAGGTGTAAGGTAGTATCATATTGTAGTTTTGATTTGCATTTCCCTAATAGCTAGTGAAGTTGAGCATCTTTCCATATACCTGTTGGCCATTTGTATGTCTTCTTGGGAGAGGTTTCTGTTCAGGTTCTTTGCTGATTTTTTTAAAATTTATTTATTTTAATTGTGGTTCAAGTACAGTTTTCTGTCTTTTACTCCCATCCCAGCCCACCCACCCCCAGTGCTCCCCACCTCCCTCCCATTTCCACCCCCCATAGTTTTTGTCCATGTATCCTTTATACTTGTTCCTGTAAACCCTTCTTCCCCTTTCCCCCTGAAATTCCCTCCCCTCTCCCCTCTGGTCCCCGTCAGCCTGTTTTTAACTGGATTGTTTGGTGTTGAGTTGAGTGAGCTCTTTACATATTTGGGATATTAACCCTATATTAAAACCCTATGTTTTCTATATATAATTTTTTACAAAAGTGGAATTTAATTAAAGTTGCTATTTTGGAACTTAATTTTTCCACACAACAATTTTAATAGCCCTTATTAATGGACATTTACATAATTTACGTCATTGGTTTAAATAGGACTGCTACATATATGTGACACATCTCTGTGCTTTTATGCAATCATTTCCTTATGGTAGTAGTAGAAGTAGAATTCGGGAGCCTTAGATATATACTTCATATGTATCTTGATATACATTTGCTTACTTTGTTTTAAATATTGCTAATGCTATCTCAGTGAGAGTTGGGAGGCTAATTAAAAGTAGTAAAATTATATAATTTTCTGCCATTGAATAACATTCAGCTATAAAATTAAAGTCTAACCAAATTATTACTTTTCACCCCAAAAACAATTCCACTTTCTCATAGAAAAAAATCTGTTTTTTGGAATTGTGTGTCAAAAAGAGCATAGAAAAGTGTGAAGGAATAGGGTAAACAAATTGCACTGAACATTACACAGGAAGACACCGTCTAGCCTTAACATTTTTGTAACTAGTCACAACGATTATATCATAGAATAAATTAAAGAAATTGATGGATAGAAATCAATGTGTAATTCATCAAGAATAGGAATGCTGAGCTCAGTGTGGCTCAGTTGGTTGAGCATCATCCTGCAAAGCAAGAGGTCACTGGTTCCATTCTAGGTTAGGGCACATGCCTGGGTTGTGGGTTCAATCCCTCATTGGGGCACATGGGAGAGACAGCCGACTGATGTTTCTCTGTAGCATTGGTGTTTCTCTTCCTCTCTTTCTCCCTTGTTTCCCCTCTCTCTAGAAAATTAATTAATTAATTTTAAAAATAAGAATAGTGCTGAAAGAAAAATATGGTCATCTTATTGACTGCTTTCATGTAGTTAGCTACTATTTCAATAAATGACAAAATATGGTTATCATTAATAAATTCACAAAATCTTTGCTTAAACAATTTATTTTCTCCCTTCAAATCTGGAATTCAAAATCTGCTTCACATTGTTATTTTTTGGCAAGCAAAATGAATAATTTGGTTTAAATTCACTTCACTTTGACTCTTGGCTTATAGAAGTATCTATAAGAACACTACTTAGCTACAAGACTAATCAGAATTAATGTAATATACCCTTGGGCATATAATAATCCCACTTAAATATAATGGCAAGACATTCAATCAATTCCATTACTTTAGTTGATCTGCATTAATGTGACTTTCTTTAAAAATTGGCAGCTTCTTATTCATATTAGGCAAGTACCTTAATGATCATTTTGATTCATATCTGAGAAACCTTGAAGTTTAAACATTATAACATCTCGCTTCTTTTTTGTCCTAACTCTTTCTCTTCACCATCATTCAATTCAGCTATAGTAGAGTTTAAAGGAATGATCATTCATTATATAAACCAAAGTTTCCCATTATTCTACAGTGGCTGTGGTTCAGAGTGCTTCTTCATCATAGTCTTTGGGGATCTGTGCTTCTCTTGGTGAAGTGCTCACTCTTTGCAGCTTGAGCATTATCTCCCAGGCAAAAACATGAGTAACAGACAAAAACACCCATTCCTGTTCACTTGATTGCGTAGCAAGAAACTAGATTACTGTTAAGAGCATTTGCTAAATCCTCCTTGTAACCTAGGATAAATTTTGACCTGGTGCATTTATATAGCACGTCATGGACAAAATCTACTACATTAGAGCTGTGCTCAGTTTCTTTCTTTTAAATGTTAAATGTATTTTTTATCCTTGAAATACTAGGTATTTTGAGTGTCTTTCTTTAAAGCATAGTTCAGTAACTTCAGTTACTTGATAACTGCATAATTAGTCTATCCTAAAAGCAAACTAACAAATTAGTCTATGTTCAAAATATTAAAAAAGACGATGACTGAAATAATTTAATGGATAACAGTTGAGCCAGGTTTTAGAACATTTATCAAGAACTTCAGTTTAATTATACAGTATGTTTTGAGGTGATATTCAGGTACAATGGCTTCATTAAATACCACACATTATATTTTAAGTTTATAGAGTGGTTTGAAACACATTTTCAATAGCTGCTGCATTGGAGTAGTATTACCTTATCATTTTTTATCCTATCTTAGAGCATGGTAAAAGGTTTATTTTACTGATGCTATCTTCCATGCATCAGAGTGTTACCTTGGTGTGTCAGTACCAGCTATTGGTAGTGTAATGTCACTCTAATTTATGGACACTTGTACTACATATCTCTAAAAGATGGTGATGAGAAAGCATGTGTAGTTCATAAGCTCAGGACATTGCCAAATCCTTGTTTTCAGGCATGTGGATTTTAAAATTGTACTTATGAACAGAGCTTGGATCTAGACCTTGCACAGCATTAATGATGACATAATTTCTTTACATTCTAAATTACTCCATTGGTAGGATACCGTTTTAGTCTCTGATGTGGTAAATGTCCATTAGCTGATCTAGTAATGATATGGACTCTAATGCAATAAAATGGTTAATCAATTCAAAGATAAATTTTTTCTTAAGTATATATCTCCTGACAATTGGTAGGATGGTACACCAATTATATGATTTTCATTTTTAACTTATCTTATTAAAGGGGGAAAACATTAAATCTTTGAATACTGTACCTCAATTTTATTGTAATGATTTTGCTGGTTACCAGGTGGGGTGGCAGTTGAAAAATTTGGTGAATGCACTACGAGAGGACCCGAGTGGTGTTATCTTAACTTTGAAAAAGCGACCTCAGAGCATGCTTACCTCAGCACCAGCTTTACTGAAAAATATGAGATGGAAGCCCCTTGCTCTGCAGGTAATGAAGCTTAATCATAAGTCATACACCATCATTTTAGCCATAGATTATCTCAGTAATGCTTCTTTATTGTGCCTCATCTCAGCAGCATATGGATTAACCTTGTATGCTTTTGAAAATTTGTTTGTGAAATGATTTCTTCACAGCTTATCCTAATAGGCTTAATTGTGATGACATATGAAAGTTACTGTAACTAAAGCCCAAATAATAAAGAACTTGGCCTTAATTTGTAAACATTTAAAAGCATAATTCCAAACAAACCACAAGTTATTTCAAACCAAAATATGGACAGAAATAAAAATGAGAGATTTCATTTTTTATATAATCTATTTAAAGTTATACTCACATATACTTCTTGGAGAAACTGGATGATAGTTCATAGAAATCTTTTAAATGAGGTCATAACATTATAATAGTTATTTAGGAACAGTAGATAAAAGAAGTTTTAGACAGTAATTAAAATGGACCAACTACATTCTTTCTGACTGATCATTTTTCTTTTTTCCATTCTCTAGGGTGGAAAAAATAGACAAATTGTTACATTAGAATTTCTGCATCTTTTTCACCATGAAACATCACTCTAAATATTACTCTGGGGTTGATAAATTATATTCATTAAGAAGCTGAATTATCTAGGAAGTTATAAATTTACAATTCTGGTTGATCAAAGACAAGGAAGCCATACATTTTCTTCCATTTCAGCCAGGATATAATCTTTAAACACATCATAGAAAAAATTTGTCCTTCATAAAAACTGAATTTTTAAAATAGGAGACTGTTACCTTTCTTAGAAGGCTAATTTTTAAACATTTAAATTGCCAATTGAAATAGAACGCTGCCCATTCATATTAAAAAGAAAAGTAATATATAAAAATACCATTGTTATCACTGCTGTGTAAGTTGTTATTAAGTTCTACATTAGTGCCTTATACCATTCTTAGATTTTCTTTCCTAAAATCCTAAATTCTCCATTACACAGAAATGCCTTGTCAATTATAATGATTGCTAATTATTTAAAACTTTACTACTTATTGGCTTAAATCTGCATTATACATAAATAACATAAAACATAAAATGTTCTAACATTAAGGTCTTTAAATTTTTAATGTGAAACTTTCTAATTTTCAAAAGAATATATGTAAAACTGTATTAATATGTCCAAATACATTTGACTTGCAATATGTTTATTATTAAAGATTTTTCATGGTAATTAAAGTTTAGAGTTCAATGTTTGACTCATTAACCCATAGATTAATAGATCTGACTTTACCATCACATCATTTTATTTTCTTGCTGTATTATAAGTTGCTTTGCTGTTCCAATCTGTAGTTTTCTATTGGTATGTCTTCCCTAATGATCCTTCTTCAACATTTGAGAGTTTGGAATCCTGAAGAAGAGGCCCATTCTTTTGGCTTTTAGGTTTTCTTCTCAATATATGTATAGTTAAATTTAAATTTTTTTCTCTAGTCTCTTCTATTTCACATCGAATGCCACAAAGACATTAGCTTCTTGTTGATCCACGAATGCTAAGGGAATATCTCTAGAAAGTAAATTGTTAATTTGGTCCCCTTTTTAGATTCTTTTGCACAAGCTCACACTGGAGAATTAGGATAATGGCAGTGCCCATTTAAGAATGACTTTTATATAAAATCCTAAAATTATTGAAAGGCCAACATTTCTTTTCTGCTACACATATATTTCGTATGTGTATTCAAAGCTGGAGAATAAAGGCTTTAATTTTTTTTAATGACCTCAGATCATTTCTTACTTATAATAGAATTATAATAGACTTTCAAGGCACTGTTTCTAGGTCCGTTCCCAAATGCCAAGAAATGTGCCTCATCAGATCACTAATTATAATTACTCTTCATTTCCTCTTCAGTTATTCTGAGTATATTTGAAGGTTTAGTTTTTAAGAATGTTTAAATCAGATAAGAGAAAGTCAGCATTTATATAAGTGCTTATATGTATTGACATTTAAAAAATTTTGTTATTTCAACTGAATTTACTTCACTTGATATGTATTGTCTAAGCTCAACCCCTTATAGATAAGCAATACCTTTTGGGGTCAGGGGAGATAGCTGCTTTCAACTACTTTAAAAATTACTTCAGAACTTGGCTTTTTACAGAGCAAAAGGAAGAGTATTGGGGATTTTTTATTTTAATGATTTTTTAGGTGACACTACAACTAAATATTTCCTAGTGGTGTTAAAACAAGATATTAGGAGTAAGGGCAATGGTTAAGTCCTCTAACATATACCAGCACCACCAGATCTCTGTGGAATATATTTTGAAGACCTGAAATTGCGTTATCAGAGTTCTTTCTTGATCTTAAGGCTTTAGCCTGTGCCAAAACTCAAAGATGCTGGAAGTGTAATGGAAACTATCTGGCCAGAATTTTTATAGAATATAGATTTTGATACAACCAAAGATGGACAAAACCTGAGGGTGCCAAGATCTGGAGATGGAACATAGACTGTCTCCAGAGGGGGAAAATTCAAAGAAATAGTGGGATGAAAGTCTTGCAGGTGGTCTTGGATTCTTTTGCAAGTTTGCCTAAGGCCACATAGTTTTCCTAGTGGCTAAGAAATGACTTTGGATGTGGAAAAAAGTGCTTAACTCTCTGCAGACACAAGTATCATTCTTATTGTATCCTTGCTTCTGGTATGTGTACAAATATGTTAGAGCTAAATGCCCATTAACTCATATAAATGTAAATATTCAGTGTTCAAACCCAAAGAATTAGACATTAGGTCATTTCTTTTTTCATAGGGTATACCAGTAGTCTAGTAATAATTATTTGAAGTAGAGGTTACAAAAGTAAATAGTTTGTGGCATTTATCTCATTCAGTATATTCATTTCATTTTTTATGCTATACCAGGTTATATTTACCTACTAGCATTTTCAGATAAAAAATGGCAAAATCTTGTAGCATAGAGGTAGACACTAGTATATGCATCTTAAAATAAACAACTGTATTCTAACTTAAGGATTATTTTTTAAACTAACAAGAAAATAATTTGTACCTACATAGATAAAACATAACCTTATCTAACCTAAGGTAGAAAATTAAGGAATAGCACATGTTTTAATGAAAGAATCTTTATTTTTAAATATATGTTTAGAAGATAATTCTGTTATTAATCAGCTATAATGATGAATTTTGATTTGGAATTTCTTTGGAAAATCATTCATGGAATTATACCCAAATAAACAAAAGCATACAATTCAGCTTCATGCTCACAGAGCAATTTCATTAGTACATTTCATGAAATTTGGCAGTTCTTTTGTTAAATTCTTGATGTCTCAAACATTTTACAATAGAATTGCAAGATACCTGAGTCAAATACTACAAGCATATTTAATCTGGAATTGAGTTCTGTTGTCATCTGCATCCATTTACAAATAGTAGCAATGTGTTACCTAAGATGGTATCTTTTATTCTAAGAAAGTAAACCAGGAATTCCATTTTTGAAAGGTATTTTTAAAACCATGTCCTTAGTAGCACCCTCTACTAAGGTCCTGGATTTTGGTAAGGAGGGTGATTGCTTATGGTCAAGTTCTTCTAATTCAATGAATATATTTCAAGCAACTATGGAGAAAACTCAAGGTATATTTTTTGATGTTTGTGGTTTTAAATTAGTATGTAGGTCACAAATATCAATGGGTAGTGTAATTTCCTTCTTAAAAGACATGTATAGCTGGACACTGACAATAATGGTGATTGAAATCATCACTGGGAATCAACAATATTTTAAAACATTAAGACCACAGTATTTTTGGTGAGAATGGATCTCAGAAATGACCACAAAAAAATAATGCTGGAATTCAACTTACTGATATAGATTTCATTAAATTCATTTTTATATAAAATAACATCAAACTGTATCATTAGACTTATGTTCTTAAACTGTATCCTAGTCCATAAATCTTGTATTTTGTTATAGTTTTTTGTGTGGTTTTGTGTTTTCATTTAAAATTTTATTGCTTAGCATTTTTACAGGATATTTAACTTTGAGCGGAGAATGAAATTAGAAAGCAAATAATTACAGCAGTTGATTTAGTCTATCAACTGGTATAGTAACTGAAGAACACTAATTGATTTTGTTATATTTCAAATATAGATATTAATGGTTGAAGTCATTCTGTAAAAATCAAAAAGCATAAGCAATAGTAAAATTTATTTTAATATCAAAGTTATGGTCGGGGTGACTGTAAAAACCATTGGTTAACAAAGTTTATGTTTTTGAAAGTTTTGTTTTAAAAGCATGTTTTGAAGAGGTTGATAACATATTAGAACACTAGAAAAAATAAATGTAAACTAAATATGTAATTGTGCTGACTCAGGCAAAAATAATTATGTTTTACATGCTCAAATCAATAAATAGCTGCAAACAATTGTTATACCAAATTTTTGTTCACCAATGTTTAAGCAAATTAATTAAAGGATCTTAATCACACTTGTGTTTTCAGCCAAATGCTTGCTAAATGTTGACACAGGCCACAAAAATTATTTTTATTTGTTTTATCTTTAGTTTCCCACTCTTTCTTTACCATCCTAAAAGTTGAGCTTGAATGTAATTTGAAACAACTGGAAGCCTAGTTTTAATGTTGCATTATTAACTATGCCAATAAGACTGGTGAGCACAAGGACAGACACACTAGTGGTAGTCTCAGTACAGTGTGCAAAATATGACAATTCAGTGGAAAAAGCCATTTTGTCATGTGTCTCTGAAGTCTCTATTAGTTGTATATTGTGTAACTATATGCATTTTTATGCACACATGTCTATTTTTAATGTATACAGATACAGTTTCCTGATCAAATCCGTGTTCAGAAAAAAAAATGTTGTTTTCATGGTAGTCTGATAGGAAAGGGAAGACTACATGCTTATAAAATAGGGCTTTTTTGTTTATATAAATTTGTATCCTAGAAAAATCTATGGAAAAATGACTGAGAGAATTTTGAATATGTGTGTTTCTCTTAAGTTCTCTTCAAATGATTTACTACTTAAAAACTTACCCAGGAAAAAGCATTCCCAATAATTTTCCAAATTAAATCTAACACTCTTTATATGGTCAAGACACTTACAAGATTGTATGCAACATCTTACCTCCCAAAATCCAGAATACATTTTCTCTGAAGTGTTTGTTTGTTTAGATGATTAAGAAGCCAGTTGCTAACATAAAACAATATCCTGATACTTGTGTTGGGAATTACAATAAAAATGTGTTTGGAACTGAGTAAGGACTTGTGTGAATGTTTCGTGCTAGTATAATGAGGTATCGTGATGCATTTGAGTCTGTGCTTATTCCTAAGAGTGAGTAAAATAAATGTCCAGGTGTTATACATGATGTGATCATTCATATTTCAATGGATATTTCCCCCTGGAAGGCACAGCAAGCTCTTTGTGATCTTTGCATTAGAGATAACTACATAAATGAATTTTAGAAATAACTACATAAAATGTAATACACTGTCTTAATTTTTTTTTCACTGTCTTAATTTTAATGTTGGGGCTGTCTTTATGTCATTGATTTCATCATGACTTTCCATAGCTCTTTGAATGGTGGGTCATTCACCAGACAAAGGGACAACTAAATTAAGATATACTTGCCAAAGTTCTTATAACATGTAAACTGTTTCAAGTAAAACTTCAGTGTCAGTTGTAGTTTCTTTAGTATGGAAGTTCTTTTGCAGTAGTCCTTAAGACCTTACGGCTTTCAGAAGTACATTGGTATCTTCCAGATGTGCTTAATTACCTTAGAGATGTAGAACTGGGGACACAAGGAAAATACCTTACAAAAGCTGAAAATTTTATTCTACAATAATCACAATCTTCCAATGATGTTTAATCTGGATGAGTAGGATATTATTACTAAGGCATCATTCATGATTCAAAGGAAGATTTGTGCCATATCATATTGTGAGATACAATTTGAAAGTATTTATATAGTTCAAACTGACAATATGAAAATGTATGTATACATTTTACCTAGTAGATTTCCTAGTCCTTCTGTCAGTAGTAAGTTACCATTAATTGGCATAACATTATAAATGAGCATTTGAAGAGATGCATACAATCATTTTATTTAGGATTTGAATATTTCAAAAGATGCATGCCAATGCCCCCAAAAATACCTCATAGGCTTCTTTCAAAAGAGTAACAGCATATAAACAAATGCATCTTCCCTGTTGGAGCCTCATTGAATATGGAAGGAAAGCTTTATGTCAGTAGGACAATTTAGATCTGAAAAGTAAATGTTATGACAAGGTCCTTCCTGGAAATAAAACCCTTTGTATAGAACACAAAATGGGATCCATGTCAAACTTGATTGTGTACCATAGTGGATCAAGTTATACTGAAGCTCCATGCTTACTCCAGTAACAGATAGGCTTTTAACACATTTGTATTTTATCCATATACTTTTATCCATACATGATGATAGTTAATTCTCGTCCCATACAGACTTTACCAATATAAGAGAAAGAATTAAAATGGCAAGATAAAAAAATTACGTTTATTTCTACCTTTTTTTGGAAAGTTAAGAATTCTTTATGGTACAATGGGAACTGCTTTTCTTATACTATGTTTCAAGTGTTGAAAGTAAATGTTGCCCAGATAGAAGCTATCCTTCTGCATTATTATACTTACATATTTAGACATTTTGCTGAAACTAAGGAATATGCCTATTAAAATTTGAATTGAATGCTGAGAAAACACCATTTTGGTTAGAGGGAAGCTTTATTTGTCACCAGGTTTATTTTCACTCACTTAAATGGTTATGGGTGGTAGATGTGATTTTAATGCCACTTGTTACAACTTGGAATTTCTTACTGCTAATTTTATCTAATAGCACTATTTATTCTGTACTTGATTTAGTCAAATTTTGCCTATCTTTCTAGTGTTTTTTAAATACTTTTTTCATCCTTTTAGTCATTTAATTCTGTACTCTTTCAATTTTTGTCCAAAGTTAGAAAAATTCTTAACAGAGTATAATTTCATATTATTACAAAGACTTTCTTTTGGGCTAAGTAGCTAATTCCATTTTGCCTTGGATCTTCTACTTTACCATACTTATTTCTCCATTGTTTAATGTCTCTTTTTAAGTGAGATTCTCAAGAAGAGTGTTTACTTTTTAGCTTGGATTAGCTTGACAAAATAATACAATTAGTAGACAAAACTGTACTGAACATATTTAATATTTACCAAGCATTTTACTTGGTACGGGGCATACTGATTGGCTAGATTATGTATGTATGATAAACCAGTTGAAATGTTTTGTATGACTTTCTAGTTAACAAAATAACTAGCCAGTTTAATTAAACAACAGCATGGACTAATTTTTTTTCCTCTGAAAGAGCAAGTTGTTTTTTTCCACCAGTTCAATTAATTGAACAGGTTGGCACAATCAAATCTGCTATCTGTTTAAATATATTGGGAGTTTTTTCTTCTAATATTTGCCAATTTAGCTAATCATATCAACTAATAACACTAATAGCAACTCCTTGCTGAAAGTAGTAACCTATGAAAAATAGTAATTTGAAGGAAGTTGACAAGGCTAATATTTTGATTTTCTTGAAGGGGAAAGGCATAAGTACCCTATGTAGACAATTCTGGTAATAGTCCAAGCAGATTACAAACCTCTGTTGATGCTTACCTTACATGCCAGGGGTGTTTAAATATACTTGTAACTATTGATTCCTACTTCTTTTCCTCCTTTCTCCTTTGTTTGAGGGGGGTTAGTAATAACCCCAAAAAAGCCTTCAGTTCTATAGATTACAATACAAAAGGAGAGAAGTCTTCAAAATAGAAATAATGACCCTAAAAGAAAGTGAATAAAATTTTGTTACATTATTTTTTCTACTGCTTATGTTTTTAGAACTTCTGTCTCAAGTTCACTGATAGTATTAGGATATTTTAAAATAAGAGAGAGAGATTAGAATAAGAGATATTAGAGCATTTAGAAAGCAACTAAATATGAGTTTCTCTTATAGTGCATCTGTTGGCAAGTTTTGGAAAGTAAAGTATTATGTAATGAATGTTTTCTTTACATTTCTATAATGATGAAATTTTGGTTGGACTTATATTTAATACCAAGATTTCCTGACAGAGAGGAAAACAGTTATAAAAAGAGTCACATCACAATGACTATACATACATAGTAAGTCTAAATACTTGATCTAAAGAACACGTCATTCTAAGATCTGCTGTAGAGGCATGTAATACATTCCTAGAATACAATTCTTTATTTCCTCAGACTTCATGGTATTCATTCATACAGGTGACCCCTTACTATCTATATAATCTCAGGATTTCCGATTGCCAAGATTTTTGTTTCAAAAAGACACACTGGACAGACACTATTCCAAAATCAGCATAGTTAAATATAATAGTCTTTACTTCATATTTTCATAGTATTTCAAAATTTGTCAACATATATATGTTCTGACTTTTTATATCATATGAGATAGCATATTATAGAGTCCCAAAATAAATTATTGAATTTTTTCACTTCTTTCTTTAATTACTATTTCATGTAGATTAAACATTATCTGTCATTTTGGTGGGTTGTGTGATTTCAAACTATTAAAGTGAGCTGGATAGCAGGAAGGTAAAAACGGTGCACTGTCATAAACTATGTAGACTACCCTAGTGACCTATATTGTACATTGTATTTATGCTTAGTTTTTTAAAGATATCTTGTTTACCTGTTCAAAAGTATTGTCACAATATAAAATAATTGTAATGTGCCATTTTTGAGTGTCCAGCAATATGTGTTAAAGTAATAGAATTGTGGGTCTATATAGTTATGCTAAATTGTTTCCATGCTGGCTAAAATGGCAACATCTTGTCATTTGAAGGTACAGCTCATTTCGTAATCATTATTTTTGTGTTTGCAATTACACTAAAATGCTTATTTTTAATATTATTTTATATTTCACTAATCAACAATACCTGTACAATAAACATGAAATTTGTGAAGTTTAGTTTTACTTTAGGATAATTTCTTGAACCACAAGATCATTTCGAACACTGTGAAGCTCAGATTTGGAAGTGCTCTTAAGTTAATGCATCCTGATATGTTGCTCCATTTAGTATATATACCATCTCAATTTTTAAAACATTTATGTCATACTTAAATACAGGCTTGAAAATGAGATCTATAGATAGACAACTAAGGATTATTTTAAACAATGACAAATGTGTGTGCTTATGAAAGATGAAATGATATGTCACACTAATTATTATACTTTTGAAGATGTACCATAAAACGACTTTGAGAAGATAGTTATGTTTATACTTACAAAAAAAACAACTTTTTTCTAGACTATATTCTCTCGTTATTGGCCTTTCATGCTCCATTCCTGTAACCTTTTCTGAGAATTTGTGACATTCTGCTAACTTAGGAGTATGGTATATCTTTTGGAACAAAGACCTGATCTTTCTTGTATATCACTCAGGATGGGAATGAGCTAATTCTTTTGAAAGTTACTCTTTATTATCTTTATTTCAAAGGTGAGATTCTAACAAAGCAAATTGCATTTAAATCAGTTTTTGACGATCAGATAAATCTTCCCATTATGAAACACTTCATGGTACTATATAAATAGCTTTTATGTGATTATACCATAGAATAAGGTGAGTTGAGAACCAAGTGGAAACCTCTAAAGTAATAAATTAATCTGGTTTTGGAGATTCAAAGGAATATGCATGTGGAAAATAACATACTTCTTGATTTCAGCCAAGCTCAAAAACTTTGCAGAAATAGATCACTTTAAAATGATAACTATGTGTCGTTGTTGTTGTTGTTTTGTGTGTTGTTTGTGTGTGTATGTATTTTCTTTTTCATTTTAACCAGCCTCTTATACCTAGAAGTCCCACAAGCAGCATTGCCACGCCTTCCAGCACCATCAGTACACCCACCAAAAGAGACAGTTCTGCCCTCCAGGATCTCTACATTCCCCCTCCTCCTGCAGAACCATATATTCCCAGGTATAAAACTAACCATCTTTTTGTTCTAGGCAGCTTCTATCCAAAGACTAACCGAATTGCATGTAAACTGTGAAGCAAATTCTTAAGGGATATAGTTTCTCAGTTGGAAATTCTGAACACGTTGTGGAAAACCATGCATTATAGAAAATGCACTTTGCTTAATAACTAATTAATATGTTCTAAATAGTATGATTAAATATTTTATAAAACCCTAGCTGGTGTGGCTCAGTGAATGCACTGCCAGCCTGTGAACCAAAAGGTCACCAGTTTGATTCCCAGTCAGAGCCCATGCGGGGGTTGTGGGCCGGGTCCCCCGTTGGGGGCACGTGACAGGTAAGCACATATTGATGTTTCTCTTCCTGTCTTTTTCCATTCCTTCTCCTCTCTCTAAAAATAAATAAGTAAAACCTTTTAAAAATAAAATATAAACATCTCTACAATAGGAAAGGATAGGAAAGTACTATTAAGTAAAAATTAGGATTATTTTTAATAAGTAAAAAATAAGTGAGACTATTTGGTGAAGAAGCCCCTGGAAATCTCAGGTTGCTCTGAAGATTCTCATACTTTTTTTTTTTTTCAAAAAGAGGAAGTTATACATAACTTTTATAATTTTTAAATGTATGTAGTAAGGGAGGGGTTTTTTGGATAATGAGTGTTTTTCCCCCTGATAGTCAGTCCTCTGTCTTCAGTTTCCACTTGATTTGGTTCATTAATGTTTCTATAAGAAAGTAGAGAGAGTTTGCAAGAAAATGACTTGCCTTTAAAGTCTATGTCCTAGATTTCTTGATGATTTACCCCCATTTCATTTCCAAATTCCTACTTGAAATTCTTGGCAGATGTGGAAGAATAGAATTTGGTGCTGTAATGATTTTGTCTAAAAACATACAGGTATCCAGCTTTCTGGAATACAAAAATTATGGAAAAGGACTAGTACTGAGTGGGGATAATTAATACCAATCACAAAGAATTTGATTCACTTTTTAAGTTAGTTGTGCAGTCATTCAAAAATAATAATAAAGATGTCTTGTTTTCAGGCCATAGTTAATATTAATTTTTTGTTATATAAAAGAACTAAAATACCTTTTTTCTATTAATTTTTACTGTTCTTTAGTATATCTAATGTTTCATTCTATTAGATATGATGGTACTGACATTTTTACGATCTAAATGCTACATGACAACATGGCATATCTGTAAATACTGCGTTGGCATTTAGTAATAAAACTCCTGTCAGTTTTATAAACATTTTACTTCATATTCTTGAGAATTAAATGTAGCTGTGGAGAAGTAGTTTATGATAAGATATTTACTATGCTGGCATTTCAGCCATATTTCTAATATATAAGTTACAGTCTTAATGTTAAATTTACAATCAGATTTGAAAGTCTATCTGATATCCTAATCAAACACAAGGTGTATTTTAATTCTATTAAGATAGTGTCTGACTTTCTAAATTGCTCTTGCATGAGAAACAATAAAATCATGTGTGTTTCAAATAGGAAAGATTTTTATTTTACTGAAAATGACTAAGAAGCCACATTCAAAAGGCTATGTGTACAAATAAGCATCAGAAGATTATTTTTTTATCAAATCTCTGCAGAGTTTAAATGTTCTTTCTTTTTTCTCTTGGCTAGGGAGGAACTTGTTTAAAAGAACATGTTTCCTAGACAGGAAGTATTTAAAATACACTTCTTAATACACTTAAGAAGACAAAAGAGGAAAATGATCCAGTCCTCTCTCCTAAGTATGGTATAAATATGATTAAGGAAGTATATTGAAATCAATTAAAAAGTTGAACATACTGGTAAAAAAAACTAGAGAATGTAAGAGATTGAAGCATCACCATAGTGGTACTTATTTTGTTAATATCTTTGAAAGCTCCATGCTTTTCAGTAAAATTCATAATTAGAGTGTATTATCTCATTTTAATTGATTTGTAGTCTAGTGTGTAACTTAACAGAATATTCTAAATATATTTTGAGGCAAATTATTAGTTATCCAGTCACACAATCATTTTATATAGCATAGTAAGGACAATCCATGCATTAAAGTACCTTTTTAGCACCACCTTGTATCAATTATGTGCAATTTCTGGTTTGACTTGAAGTTATAAAAAACTTCTGAAGTCACAAAAGTTTCTGCACTTGTCATTCCTTTTTTTATTTAATTGTTGTTCAAGTACAGTTTTCTGTCTTTTACTCTCATCCCAGCCCACACCCCCCAGTGCTCCCCACCTCCCTCCCATTTCCACCCCCCTTAGTTGTTATCCATGTGTCCTTTATACTAGTTCCTGTAAACCCTTCTTCCCCTTTTCCCCTGAAATTCCCTCCACTCTCCCCTCTGGTCCCTGTCTGCCTGTTCTCTATTTCAGTGTCTTTGGTTATATTTTGCTTGCTTGTTTGTCATTATTTTTTAAATTTACTTATTTTAATTGTTGTTCAAGTTACAGTTTTCTATCTATTTCTCCCATCCCAGCCCCACCCCCCAGTGCTCCCCACCTCCCTCCTATTTCCACCCCCCTTAGTTGTTGTCCATGTGTCCTTTATACTTTATAGCTACAAACTTGGTAGTTCTTTATTTCATTTTCTCATTTTTATTATGATTGTGGTTCACCTAATTTAATTCATCAAAACATTTTTTCTATACTAAAATTTTTGTTTGTGCAGGATAGGCATTTTAGTGTTGATTTGAATAATAAAAACTTTCTCGTCTTAAAACAAAAAACTTAAAAAGGTAGGCCTAGTTGTCAAATAGGTAGAATTTTTTCTTGTGATTATTTGAACACAATTATCCCAGAAAAAATTGTGGGTGCAAAAGTGGCTTTACCTCTAAAAGAGAAATACTCATGTATATTGAGTGAAATTCTGTCAGTTTTTAGTATATGTCTTATGACTACATAAAGTTCCATTATTAAACCCTATAGTTCATTTTAACACTTAACCAGATTTCTTTTTTTTTAATTTTTATTTAGTTATTTTTCAAGTACATTTTTTGTCTATTTCTCCCATCCAAGCCCCCCCGCCCTGTCTCCCCCCTCTCTCCCATTCCCTTCCCCCAGTCCTCATCCCTGTGTCTTTCATACTTGTTCCTCAAAATCCCTCCCCATTTTTCCCCTTAAATTCCCAGATTTCTTTTTATAAAATAAAAATCAAGAATTTATAGGTCTTTGCAGAATTGTGAAGTTTAAGCACTAATTTCTCTTAATGGATTTTACAATGAGCCATTAAAGTCCACTAAAGCAGTACTCTAACTTTTCAATTTTATCAAATCCTTTTTAGAGCAAAAAATACAGATTATATGCATGTACAGACAGATAACATTAAGAAAAAGTGTTTTAATTTTTTCAGCAAAATGAATTAGTACATTGAGTTATTCAGAGGCTCGTGATATGAATATACATACAGGCACACATATTTATATATGCAATACATGTATCAGTTAATTTTCTGCAGTCTGTTTTTAGTTTGTACTTTTCTTAATTCAACTTTATTTAAGTGAATTACATACAGACATGTTTAATAAATCTTCCTTGTTGCTATAAGGCCCCTCTTTATTATGGTTATAGAGTAATACCAGCCCTTCCAATTAGTTTTGCCACAAAGAGTACGCATATAAATAGAAAGTGGTAAATTAACTAGGGTTGAATCATCCTCTGATCTCAAGCTGCATAAACAGTTATGTCACAAGCCTGATAGAGAAGTCTGCCCATTTATAGATAGGTATAACTTTCCAGCTCCATGAGTTTGTTAGGGCTATTTCTAAGCTAATTGCAGTGTCAATTTCTTTTGATAGAGGACTATCGATAATAACAATACCAGGCAATTGGTGCAGAAAAAAACTTAAGCTACCCAAAAATAAAATTCTGCCTGGATTTTATATTTATTTATTTTCTTTATGTTGTCTAAGAACTAAGCTATATGTTACAATTAGGTAATAAGCAATACTTTATTATAAAAAATAAAAGAGTGAATGGTAATGTAAATGGCCAGTTCACCTTGTGATGTGTTAAATATTTAAGAAAACTTACTGATTCAGTAAGTCTTGAGAATATGGTTTACTCTTTTCTATATATTTCAAATACTAGGAATATAGTTTCCTTCTTTGGGACAAACCTGATCTAAATATTTGCATACAGATATAGAAGTATAGTATACTCTAGTATAGAAGTATAATTATTTGCTGAACGGAAACTCATATTTTATAAATGACATTCAATTTATAAGTGTGTCACCATCTTATACGGTGCAAGATGTCGATTTAAAAATCTGTTATTTTATCTGTATTATTAAAATTGAATGTATTCTGTTTATTTAAGATTTCAAGTCTTGGCACTTGACATAAATTTAAATTTTATCTGCTTTCATAGCATTCATGGCCTTTTTAGTGTAAAACTGGAAACAATTAAGAATTAAGAAGATATAAAATTAATGATCCACAAGGAAAGGAACATTTTATTTATATTTATAGTCCTATTCTAAAAGACAAGCTTTTCTAACAAAAATTGTATAGCTGCTCAGTGAAACATATAATATAAACAAGGTTCAGTATTACAAACCCTAAATGGAATGTTTCTACCAAAATACCACTTATTATGGGCCCAATCAGATGGGCTGTGTGAGTGATACTATATGTGAGTAAGTTTTAGGGATCCCATAAATTATTAGAGAATTTTCTTTTTAGAATTATATAAAAGAAAATAATCAAATTGCCATGATCTTATTTTTCTTTTTGATTGAATTTCAATTATGTAAACCATTTGCATGACTCCAAATTCAAAACTGTATTAAAGCAAATGTTTTAATCCATGCCCTATCTACTTTCCCTCTTTCCTCCCCCACAGAAATCAGTTTTTATTGGTATTGCTTTATCTTTCCATTATTTCCTCTTGAAAATATAAACAAAACTGTGTATTCACATTAATATTCCCCTTCAACCTTCTTACAAAAAGAAAAGGGGAAAAAAATCTTTAGCCCTGGCTGGTGTGGCTTAGTGGATTGAGTGCCCACCTGAGACCTGGAAGGTCACAGGTTTAATTCCCAATCAGAGCACATGCCTGGGTTTCGCACCAGATCCCAGATTGGGGTGTGTGAGAGGCAACCGGTTGATGTATATCGCGTGTGTGCATCAGTATTTCTCTCCCTTTCTTTCTCCCTCCCTTCTTCCCTCTCTAAAAAGACATAAATTAATTAATAAATTAATAAATAAAAAGAGCATAGCACAAACATTGCTTTATACCTAGCTTCTTAATTAAACTTATTGAGGTGACATTGGTTAATAACCTGCCATCATATTAAATACCCTCCTTAAACTCCATATTTTATCAGGTTTCTCCACTCCCTCCTATAGAAATGTTGCCAATATTTAATGAGATTTTGATATATCTATTTGGAATGAATTCTGTGAATATATATTTTTACTATTAAAAGAGATACATGGAGTTTAAATACTCAGAGTAATTCCCTTCATCAAGGTTTATTTTAAATTAATAACAAGCTGTTTGGCATTCTTACAATGTGACTTTATTTAGAATTAATCTGGTTCTTAAGACCACAGTATTCTTACAGAGTTGTTAGTTCTTAAACACATTTGTTTTTAAGCAGTGCAAATATTATCATGAATTCAATTAGGTACACTGACAAAAGAAAGTTAGATTGTTAATATTTACTTACTGTATTGAACACTAAAAGCAATTTATGTGCTAAGGTGATTTCCTTTATATGACATAGTGCAATGAAAATGGACTAGAGCAGGAGTTCAAAGATCCATTACCCATGTCTAACTGTGTGATTTCTTAGCTGTGTTCATTTAACCTCTCTGAGCCTCTGCATCTCTTTTTTACAAAATAGGAATAGTTAAAAATTGCACTATTAACCTCAAAGTTTGGAAAGATAGAAGATAATTATGTGGGAAAGATATTATTATTATTATTATTATTATTATTATTATTATTATTATTATTTTAGACCCTCTTAGTCATCTTACCACCCTAACACTTTCTTTCCTACATCTTTCTTCATCCTGTCTTTAGGGATGAGAAAGGAAACCTTCCTTGTGAAGACCTCAGAGGACATATGGTGGGCAAGCCAGTTCATAAGGGATCTGAATCACCAAATTCATTTCTGGATCAGGAATATCGAAAGAGGTTTAATATTGTCGAGGAAGATACTGTCTTGTATTGCTATGAATATGAAAAAGGAAGATCAAGTAGTCAAGGAAGACGAGAAAGTACCCCAACTTATGGTAAGAGTTCTTAAGGTGACCGAAGAACATGTCTGGAATGTGAATTTCAATTTCTTTTTATAGTCTTTTGAGTTATAAAAATTACCTGATAGCTTTGTATTTTATAATTGATCTGTGTCATGTGCTTCTAAGTGAAATCTCGACAATGTGAGGCATGCAATTGAAAATTATTCTAAATCTTGTAGAGGTAAGCAATTATAGTAGGTAGCATTTTAGCTCATTAATGATGTATGGAAACCTTTTCTGCATCACAAAATTTTTGTATGTCAGATGTGGACAAATTGGAATAATCCAAGGTTTTGTTTTCCTTTTTTAAAAATGAAAACCTGCTGTTAACATGGCTTATTTAAAATGAAATTATCTCCCTATTTCTCTGGGATTAAAAATCTTTAGATAGGCTTTTCTGGGGGAAATCTCATCTAGATATTTGTATTTTTTAACAAGCTGCAAAACTTGACTGGAAGTAGATTTTAAACAGGAAGGACAAGTTGTATTTAAAGGTAGAGACCTAGAGTGACCATGTCCCTAAGGTGGTTTTCAGCTCTGAGTCTTATTTTTGCATGCATGATCAAGAAAGTAACCCAGTCACAAACACTTAACACTACTATAGTGTATCTGAAATTTTGGCAGAGAAAGATGCCTAAAGTTAAAGTAGTAAATAAAGTTTCTTGTCCTATTGCAAGAATGAATACTCCCTTTCCAGTTTTCGAACTAATCATTTTTTGTGAAGAACTTATACTTGGGGAAGGACATAATCCTTGCTAGTTAGTCCAGATTCAATCAGTGGGAGCTGAGCAGAAGGAAAGTTATTTGTAACTTTTTCTTGCCACCTGTCCCACTTATTTGTCCACCATGGCCAAATGCCTTCCCCTTTGGTCCCAAAAGATTGGTAATCACTTACTTTAATACACATGCCCTATTTCCTTACAGCTCTTCAGTAATAATCATTAATGAAAACATTTGCTCAAAATGATTCTGAAGAATAGGAACCATGCTTATCTTCCTTTGTGTTATTCTCTGAATGTGCTTTTCTATCATAAGAATACACAATGATATTTTATAACATAGCTTCTCAAGTATACCACTCTGATAGCACTTATTTTGAACTGTCATAATTTGAATATATATGCAGCTTTGCTTTTTCCCCCACTATATTTTAAACCTTTACTGTATAGAAGCCTGCCATCTTTATTATCCCTACCCCTGCCCCATCATATAAGATTATTTATTTTTATTCATTCATTCCACAAGTACTTACTGGATATCTATTATTACATAGTCACTAATATATATCAACTCTTCTTTTTTTATGTCCCAGAATTTTCTGGCTATTTTCTACTTATTTTAAGAACATAAGAATGTCTAATTTAAGAGAAAATTGTAGTCACCAGATAGTTTACTGATAGCATTATAAAAATATGTTACTCCCTTCAGACTACAGTTTAAACAAATCATATTTCTCCTAATACAACAGAATACTATTAAATTTTAGAAAATATAGATATCCTATAAATATTTCATGTATTTTCTAAACAACTTAGGAGAAAATAAATGTATGTATGCTTGAAAGACAGACAAGGAAGTAAAATAAATAGTTATTTTACTTTCGATCCTGAAAGGTTTTTTTTTAACTTTTGAACCTGAAATATAATCTTAACCTTCAATGGAGATATTTATAGATTCTTCAGTAGACATTTCCTGGCGCAATCTGAAGGTCATTTCAGGTAACTAGCAGTTTAATGTATTTGCTACATTAAACTCAAGTACAAAAAAGTTCACAATTGATATTTTCTGGAAATGACAGTAATTTAACGTGTTAGCACTTGCATGATACCTGAAAATGCAATATATAAATCATTTAGCTTTACAATGTTCAACTTAGTTCTTAGTCATAATAATACATGTTGAGCTTTTCTATACACCAAGAACTATTGTAAGTTTTAAAAAGTCATGAACCTATTCAATGTTTATAACAACCCTATGAAGTAGAAACTGATGGAATCCTTATTTTACAGATGGGTTAAATAACTACCCAACTAGTTAGTGGTAGAGCTGGGCATTAAGTACCCATGGATATTTGTTGATTCTACCAGTGGTACTAGCTAACTAAATGTGATGAAAATAATTTACTAAATTATAGGAAAACAATTTCCAAAAATTGTATTACTCTTTCCAAATTCAAACATTTGACTTCAAGCAAAAAGAACTAGGTCTAATTTTATATGTTCTTATGTATGTCGTTTGATATTCACTGGCATTATAATAAATATGCATCTACATAGACGTGGCCTTGACAGACCTTAGGAAAAGATGGCTAAATTGAGGAGTAAAACTAGGATCAATGTGTTATTTCCTTTTTAAACCAGAGAGCATAAAATAGGTTTTACTTTCCTAAAAAGGTAGAGAAGAATAATTTCTGGAAACACAAATATAGTAGGGGAAGCAACCTAGATTTGTGGTTCCTAGCATTGGCTTTCATATCAGCCATACTTGGCAATCCTATCTGCCTTGTAATTATTCCAGTGTGGCTCAGGGATGTTCTTCTAGGGCTCAGTTCTCTCATTTGTTAAGTGAAGATGCTACTATCTGCCTCATAGACATTTTGTGAGAATTTAAAGATAGCACAGTATAAATTGCCTAGAAAGTGCCCAATATGTGCTATGTATTTATTTGTGCTGTTGTTATTGTTACATAGAAACTTTAATGTTGCTAAGAGAATAGATCTTAACCGTTTTCACCACAAAAAAGAGGGTAACTGTATGAAGTGATGGATATGTTAAATAGCTTAATTGTGGTAATCATTTCAGAAGAGATGCACATATCAAATCCTCACATAGTACACCTTAAATATATACATTTTATTTCTCAATTATACTCAGTGAAGCTGGAAAAATAAACTTAAAGATCTTCACATGTAAATAATAATAATATGATCAGCCATTTTTAATTCTTTGAAGGATAAGGTGGGATGAATAAACAGTTCAATAAAAAAGAAACTTTAATGTGACAATAAAAAGGGGAGAAATTATAGCATTAAATCACTTTATTTGGTTTCATCTGCTCAGGTTTCAAAGGCAAAGGTTTGAATTTGATGAGATTAGTTGCTTGGCAACCTTTCAGTATGGTAATATTTCCATTAGCTTTCCCTTTTCATTGTCAGGCATTGCTTGCCCTTGCTATTCCATAATAGCACATTTCTATGCTTAAAAACATCCTAAAAGGTATACATACTTGGCTGAATCCCTTTGTAGCCATGAGTAGTCATATTTTATAAGAATAAGAAGAAAACATATTTTTACAATAATATCACAGAATAGTATTGGTTTAAAGGACTCCAGAAGTTTTCTGATTTATTGAAAATTCAAGACCTCACAAAAAATGCACATGAATACATGAGAAGCCACTATTTTATGTTTTTATCTTTTATTTACTTATTTTAGGGAAAGAGTGAGAGAGAGAGAGAGAGGGAGAAACACCAATTTCTTGTTCCACTTATTTATATAATTATTGGTTGATTCCGGTATGCACCCTGATTGGAGACCTTGATGTATCATATGATGCTCTCCCCAACTGAGCTACCCAGCCAGGGCAGAAAGCCAGCATTTTAGAAATGCTCCTTGTAGATGTTATTTGTGCACCTTGTGCATTGTGACAAATTAATTTCTTTATTATACCTGAACATTTTCCACTAAATAATCATGTACTCTGCCCCATCTTTCCATATGAGTAGCAAATGGCTTGAAATGACTTACAGCAACATATGCAGGGTCTATGGACAGTGATACTGTAAAGTGAATTTTATCAATGTGAGGTGAGGATATTGTCTGTAGGGTCTAGATTATATTATCATACTTCAACATCTTTCTTTTTAAAAATATTTTTTATTTATTTTTAGAGAGAGGGGAAGTAAGAAAGAAAGAGAGGGAGAGAAACAGTGATGTGCAAGAGAAACATTGATTGGTTGCCTTTTGCACCCCCGCCCGCCCAACTGGGACCTGGCCTGCAACTCAGGCATGTGCCCTCACTGGGAATCAAACTGCAGCCTTTCAGTCTGTGGACCAATGCCCAACCCACTGAACCACACCAGTCAAGGCTCCTTTCTTTTGCCTTAAAACTTTATTCGATCTTTTGGGCAGTTAAATTATAATTAATAGCATTATTTCAAACATTTCTTAATGTATCAAATATATGTAATACATTCACACTTATTTATCTCTGAAATGAAACTGCTCTCTTTCCTGTGATTTTTAATATAAGTTCTCCTCCTTCTCAGGTAAAAGTTCAGCTGTCATTTATCAGTTATGCTGAAGAGAATAGAAAATAGGATTCTAACCATAGAAAATTTCTGTGTTCAAATAAAATATACCACTTCCAAAGCAGAACTAACCATAGAAATTTAAATTAGTGACTAACCATAGAAATTTAAATTAGTGAATCATAAATGTAGAAATATGAGATATGTGCTATACTTATTAGGAATTCTATTCTTTTTACTATATTTCTTAAAGACTGCATGTTGCTTAGCTTCACAAACTAATTTTGAAATCATGGTGATGGTGATAAGGGACCATGTATTTGATGGAAAGTAGTTCAGCAAAAGTTTGGCATAGAAATAGAAAATAGTCTGTTCCTAATGTGAAAATTAGAGTAATCACCTAGGGAAGGCACTCTTTCTTAATTTGCATAATTTTACTGATAGAAATAGCAGAGCATGAGTTTTGAGGTCACATAGACCTGAATTTGGTGTCACAGCTTGACCTTTAATAACTGATTGACCTTGAACTCAAGCCTTAACCTCATTATGTTTTTGTTTCCTTATCTGTAAAATGGGATGGCAGTACTACTCATAGTGTTTTTATGAGAACACTATTAAGTGAGATATAAGTGAGATATAATGTATGTTAATGACAACACTGTTCTTGCTTCACAGAAAGCACTCAAGAAATGGTACCCAAATGCCATAATAAACTACTGCTGCTCATAAATAAAAATGTGTAAAA